GATTTCGACGCCTGATAGAGCAGGAAGGGAAATTTTGTAGAAAGGGTAGCACTTTTTGATCCCTAAAAGTACTCCTCCATAAGAATCGTCTCTATCGAGGCGAATAATGTTAAAATCGTGGAAGTTGAGTTCTTTATCGGAAGAAAGCCATGTTTCACAGAGAGCAAATATATCACAATCAGAATTGTGGAGTAAAAATTTGAACGAGTCTAGTTTAGGCACTAGACTACGGCAGTTCCACTGTAGCACAGTGATCATATCTTCAACCTCGTTCGACGAATTATCCATCGAAAGATATGATTGATGCAAGGAGGGGCCATGAAACAGTCAATTGCTTAAGATATGATTCTAACGTTGGAAGCAAGGCAGAAACTAAGCTTCTTAGAGGGTCTTGTATGTTGAACATGTTTAATATGAATTCCACAATGTCCGAAAAAGCTAGCAAACCTCGTTCGGACTTGGATTTCTTTTGAGAAGTTTGAGGAGCAGCTTTTTTATTTTTTTTATCTTTGTTGTGCAATGGCGGAAAATTCTTGCTGCATCCAGGGATTGGATCAACAGGAGCCTTCGGTTTTGTTTTTTCATCCCCATTACCCTGGGAATTTGGCAATCGTCTGGAGGTGACTTTAGTTTTCTTACGGCGCACTTTCGGGGAGGGGCATTTTCTTTTTGAGGAACCGTCCATTTTTGAAGGTGCGTGTACCACCGTAGAATCACCTTCATCGGATGAGTCAGAGTCCGATTCTTCAACTGACAAAACCGAAAATTGGTTTGCATCTTGGACGGCTGATGCAGCCTTCAACATTTGAGCATATGTCTGCTTGGAGCGTCCAGAGATTGAACGCTGCACTTTATCGGAGTGCTGTTTGTACATCGGGCACTCCTGCAAGGGGTGAGGATTCTCGCCACAGTAAGCGCATTTTACTGATTCTTTGTGGCAAGAATCCTCTTTGTGGTTTTCACCACATTTGCCACAACGAGTTTTGTTGCCGCAATGGCTGGCCGAGTGTCCCAGCCTTTTGCAGTTGGTACAATTATATACCCTCTGTACAAACAGCCGCACCGGAAAAAAAGCACCATCAATTTTAACAAAGTTTGGGAGAACTGAACCTGCGAAAGTCACCCGGAACGAGTCTGAATGTTTATAAACTTTTTTACCGTCTAGCAAAGATGCTGAATGCAGTTGCCTTACATCCAGTATCTTCACTAGCGCGGTAGCGAATGTCGAGTTTTTAAAAGTTCCCGAGGCATGTTTCAAGTCCTCCACAGTCAGACTCGCGTCGGAGACTACGCCTTCTATCTCCACATCTCGAGAAGGGATGTAGATGTTGTACTCAACACTAAACAACTCGTGATCAGCAATTTTATTTGCCACATCATAAGTCGGTGCTTCTACACGCAGTTTGTTGAATCTTTCTTTGTGTACCAAGATTCCCGGATACTTACGCAGCAAATCTCTCGTTATGTCGAGAGTTTTCAAAGGTTTATTTTTGGGCCGAAAAAAGACAACCCATGGTCCTTTCGAAGACGGTTCATAGTATCTGGTTCGCGTAACGTAGGCATCGGAAGATGCCATAAGTGTTGCGCAAAAGTGGTGCGCAACCACTTAAGAAGGAAAAAAAAAATAAAACCTTCACTAATTAATTAATTTTAATTACTAGTAATTAAATTTTTTGCCCGACGTACGAACAAATCAAAAAGAAAAAAAAATCGAAAAAAAAAAAAACTTATATCTACTTGCAAAAAGTTGTCTCACTATGACCCATACTCCCCTACCAGGGGTGAGAGACAGAGTCACGCGCCACGAGGCAAAATTAAACTACAATAGGGAGGCAATGGACTTGCAAAATGTATTGTCTAATACTTATGCCGGTTGTAAACAACCTATCAGCCGTTGCAGCTAGATGGTCCGTTTGCTGCTGCTGGTGGTGATGATTGGTGTTGGTGGGTCGGCACGATGATGGAAAAAATGGCTTGACGACCGGATGGATTACCGGGGTGGATTAAAGCTGGATGGCAACTCCAAGGGGCTCGGCCCATGGAATTCCACTTCCTCTGTTGCACACTGGTCACTTGGGGCACCCAATTGGGGGTGAAAAAACCGCTCGGGCGGAAAAAACACCGAAAAAAAACTAGATGCCGCGCGACTGAGACCGAGACGTTGTTAACCGACTGAGTGTTCAACTAGGAATGTAGAATGACAGTTCTTACAGCAAACAAAAAATTTCTCACAGCTAACAAAAAATTTCATCTCACTAACACACGCAACTCGCACCAATACGAACCCGGCTGGAGAGGACTATGGTGACCAAAATCTACCATCTCTTTGTGTTGGAGGCGAACCAGCCCCAGGCTGAAAGCCTCCCTAATAAAGATAAATTAATTAATTACCATCTCTTTCATTCTTTTACTTTTCAATACAAAAGCAAATGTAACGTCACACATGCACGTGTGTAAGAATGTCGTATAGACAAAACATTCACGCTGCCAGACTACGCTGTATGACATGTTGTTTACACCCCTGAGCGGGAAAGGCAATAGCAGGCTACATGCAATGCTGCCATCTCCCCTGTTTGAGTTCAATTCAATCTTTTTTTTTACCTTTGTAATTGGAACGCTGAAGTACCAAAAATGGTCCTATTAGTTTTATTTATTCAATTTTTGATATTTATTCACCATTAAAAACATCCACTCATCTAAGTTATTGGTTTAAACTTTGTATTTGCATGTTTTAAGGGGGTAGTACACTTTGAACGTCCAAAAAGTAAGGCATTTTCGTTAATTTTTTTAAGCAATAAAACACTCAGGGAGGGCAAATATGTTATCACAGACAAACAGACGTAACTCTTCATTGTGTATCTTCGTTCATGCATTTAACGGTTGATTTGAATATTATCAGTTCCGCGAACTACTCGCCGCAGCGCTGGCATCGGATCACTTTGACGTTTCTATACATTCTATAGAACTTTTATGCAATATTGTTTACGAGTTAGCGAGCAAGCTTGTTTTCCGCGAGAAGCCAGAGGGATGTCGTTACTGAGGTTATATGTTTTGAGATACTATGTATTCAAGAACAAGTTTTTCAAAGAGTTACGGCTGTTTGTCTGTGATGTTATAACCCATTTATTAGTCATCCTTCGAACTACAATTTGTATTTTTTTTGAACTCGATTGGCGTCTCCCCGTGGCCGGTGCACCAGGTCGCACGGGTGTCCTCGCGCGGAAGTCGGAAAACGGCGTGGGAAAATACTCCTTTCCATGTGATCCTGGATCATATATCGAACAAAAATCCTGATTAGTAATGAAATTTGGGTTAGAAATACGTATTCCGATTTTTTTTAAATTATTTTTTTAAAAGTTGTGGCCTTAGAAAAAAAAGTCCATTTGTTCACCCTAAAAATGCTTACAAAATCGTGGATTAAAAATCAATTTTAGACAAAATCGAAAATGTGGATACATATTTCTAAGCAGAATTTAATTCTGAACAAGAAAACCTAGGCGATATCCAAATTTGATGATAACTGGTTAGAGTTATTTCCCACGCTAGTTTGAAAAACCCCGTTTCGAGATAAACGCGTTTAAAGATAAAATTGCTCTCTCAGCGCGCCGGTACATGTTTTAGGAAATCGCTTCGTAAAGCGGTAAGAAATATTCTGGCGGACTTGGAGTCTTTTCTTATTTAAAGTATACATCCCAAGGAACATTTTAAGCCAAAAAAAATGACGTTCGCTAGCAAAGAAGTGGAGTCGAAGTGATTTTCTTGGTGTTTTATTTTTACCAAGAGATTTGACCTAATTTTTTGTATATCAATAACGTGAAATTGTGGAATGCTATCAAGAATTAAAGTAAGTAAACACAGTGATGGTGTTTTACCCAGAAAATATACGATCTTAAATCATGAAATACTTGATTTAAATTTTCGGATGCCTTGTGTGGCAATATATGTTTATACTCATGATGATGATTGAAGAATCGGTGTCTTGAGCATTAACAGTTTGTAGCTAACGAAGATAGAGACCGTTTAATGCAATTAAATCTTTCGTAACAATTGAGAACGCCTAATTTAACAGAGAGAATCCGCAGTTTTAAACAGTGCCATCTATAATGCACCTATTGCACGAAAATGGTCAGTTATAAATTCTTGGAATCCATCTTTCTACAAAAACACAAACTGATATTCACGCACCACTATCGGTGGTACGCAATATTACGATGAATTAATCAGCGACATGCGTCGGTCGTATAATAACCATAATTAGCCATATCGTACCTCAGCATGAGCAATAAGCAAAACTCCCTTGACGATGGGGACAAAATTAGGCTACTATTTCATGCACGATTGCACAGGCTGCAGATGCAATTAGTATACCCCCCAATTTAACCTGCTATGTGGGGTTGTAACTTGTCCAGCAATGTCGCACGGTAATCAACAAATCCGTTCAAGAGAACAACATGCATGCATTATCCGACTCTTGCCAGGCTTACAGATCTGCCGTATTGATTAGCAGAATGTACTTTCACCTTCTGAAAAATTCAAAATGTTTCATCAACCAGTGCAGTTTGTGTCAATTTGCCAACATTCAACCAGACTTCGCTTTCTATCGAACATAAACCGCTCGTTCTGAGCAGGGACAGTGTGGTATGATCAGATAGCGGCTGCTATATTGTACCTGTCCATTTCATTCTTGAAAAGAAAAACCTTTTCCATTTATTGTTGAAGACGAAAGTGGACGGACCTTTACTTCATTTTGGGACAAGTTTCTTTTATCATCTCTTCATTTGAGATGTGTTATCGATACAAGACACTCATCATAAATACTGTAGGCAGCCATTACTGCCATTGAAGTCAAGCTCCACCGCTGACAACAACGGCTTTCACTAATTTCCACATCTCTATCACAAACAACAATCCACCTCCATGTTTCTCAGTCAGCAGCAGCACGTGTGTGTGTGTGTTTAATGTTCGTTAAAAAAAGCTTTCCATTATCTCCTTCTCCACAGGACTCGTCGTCAATGGTTTCATCAACGTTGTCATCACGACGATCGAGCGACGGTTCGGTTTAAGATCGACGCAGACCGGCCTGGTGGCCAGTGGGTACGATATCGCCTCGTTCCTGTGCCTGGTGCCGGTGTCGTACTTCGGTGGACGGTTGGGCGCATCGAAGCCACGCTGGATCGGCTGGGGCGTCGTGGTGATGGGTCTCGGAGCGTTCGTGTTTGCCCTGCCGCACTTTCTGGTGGGCCAGTACCGGGCAACCTACTCGGAGCAGAATGTTTGCCTTGCCCTGCCAGACGGTTTGGTCAATGATACCAGCAGCAGTGCCACCGCCGCCGCCGCCGCCCGACTACTGGGGGAGGTGAGTAACTATGACATGTCGTCGCCAAATTTATTGGTTCTGTGCTAATTAATAAGATTAAGTGCTGTCAAATCGGTTGGAACAATGTATCTCTGATGTGGGAGGTTCATAACTGGTAATTAGAGGATGGGACAAAATATGCTTTCTGGTGACACGAAGCGTATATTGGGAGGGGGAAGCTTTGACGGCGCGTCGTGAAAGTTTTTAGACCTGCCTTAGTGAATGTGAGGCTGCATTTTTCCGTACGGATATCTGGATCCTAGCTAGCAATAAACTCCAATTTCAATTAACCTGTAAAAAACCCCGAACGGTCTTCTAATTGAAAATAAAACCTACATCTTTATGGTGGGTTAAAAAAAAAAAACAAAAATGAAAATTACGATCCATTTCCTCGTTTATAACATTTTCTAGGTCTTCTAAATCGTCGAGCAGTCAATTGATTCACTACGACGAATCTTATCCAACACCAACCCAGCCAGTTCTTGAAAGCATCCCGGCAAATGATTGATATACGTCCATAATTGTTTTGTCTATTTGATACAAGGGGCAAGACAGCTCCTAATCATGAGCAATTTCAGAGTTACTTTTGAGGCACCCATCTCAGCACTCACTCAGTGAGCAAGATCACTGTCATTTGCTTTCTCACTTTTCGCATCACAGCAACATATGGAGGTGCGAAGCCGAGAAGCTGCTGTCAAGCAAAACAACAACACGAATCGGGGACTTCCGGCCTACAACTCCAGGCGACTATGGTTGCGATTCTGAACTTTCGGTCCTAAATTTCCTTCGGTCTCCAGCTCCCGAGATCGCTCCTCGAATGGCCTACGGATTTAAAAAAAAAATACGGAGTAAAATCAACTCGTTTTTCTTGGCGGTTGGATTTGAGCGTACTGAGTAAAACAGGACTGGATGACCGGATCTATGCATCGCAACTTCGAATCACTTTATCCCGTCTTCAAGTGACCGATCACCCCTGCACAGATCTGTTCTGGCTGCTGTCTCAACTAGACTAACCAGCTACCTAAGTACCTCACCCATTTCCATTCTGCTGGAACAGCTCTGGAATTTCCACAACAAATTATCAGTATTGGCGCTGTCTACCTGCAGACAGCACGATCATCCGTGAGCATCATTGTTAGGTCTCGATGGAGTCCCCGCTCTCCCGCACTACTATTTGACGACCAAAACTAAGCTGGTTTACAGTGGCGCTTTACCGACAGCGGCACACCATTCATTGACCCACTGCTATCACATATGCCGGTGGCTTGCTGTACTCTTTTGGATGGATTTAACTTAAACGGGTTTAGTCAAGTAAACACTTTTCCCAACCGAAACGGACGTCTGCTAGATCTTATCCTGGCAAATGATTTCGCATAACCGGCCCTTGATCAGTCTATATGCTGACCATCCCGCTCTCTTCGTGTCATTCAGGTTACCTACTCCGAATTGAAATAGACCAATCTACATTCTTTCAATTTCGTACATAACTCGGCTACAAAAACATGTCCTGTCGTCTTTGTCGTATTAGATGCTAGATTGTTGAGTCTTGGGTGTCCAAAATATCCGGAAATATCTTAACACGGCCGTGACGATCCAAAGAGAGAGTTGATTAAGAGAAGCGATCAATGCAAAAAGGGCCTATTAAAAAGTGACGCGAGAATTTTATTTTGTTTACAAACAAGACTGACACCTAATATATCGACAGTGAGGATTAGACTGATGCAAAATTTGAAATTCTCGCTCCACAGTGTTCAAACAGTTTCAAATCGGGTCCTGATTAGCCTCCGTAAGTTTAAACTCGTTTGATAAGAAACTGACTTGGCACAAACCATTTGAAGTTTATATGGAAATTACTATGGGAAAACCAAACTTCTTGTTAATTGTCTTCTAGCCATTGGGAATTCTTATGGGAATTTTTATCAGCTACAATTTTGCAGAAAATTGTTTTTCAGCCAAACGTCAAATTAAATAGTTATTAATTGTTTAAGAGATTGATAATCTTATGGCAAGATTAAGCAACTGTATTGTGGGCAACACTGTATTCTGCAGTGTGACATAGTAGCCATGATTTTAGTCCTCTATTCTACGCGCCATAAACACCAATATTGCCTGCTGAACAGTTGATTGAACATAATCATAATACATCAGTGACTTGAATCTTTAATAATTTTTGTTTCTTACATTTGATCGAAAAGTGGTCTTTAACAAAGTTGTAGCTGAGACAAATTTCAACAAGCTCAGCTATCATTTTTTGTGGCGTCACGTGAGAAAATTCACTAGTTGTGCACCTATTTTATTTATATTTTATCTGTAACAGTAGAAGCCAATTTTGATGCATAATAAAAAATGGGATACAAATCTTTCGACGGGGGTACCTACATAAAAAATAAACAAAATGATGATGGGAAACAGTTCTGCTACCAGTTTTGCTTACTCTTGCATAGAAACATTGATTTTCTTTTTAAGTCTCATGTTTATGATATTTGTCATCGTTACTCACCGTTTCCTAAGCAGTAGCGTTGAGTTGACGCCAATTGCGATTTCCTCGAAATGCTCCACTTCCCCGCGCAATTTCCTCGAGCATGACCCAACCAACAATTCCAGTTGTCCATTTTCGGCAAAGTTCCGCGTTAAGATTTTACCATTTCTTTTACATGTCGTTTTCAAGTTGTCCAACTTTAGTCGTGGGACGTCCATTCTCGCAATAAGCATTTATTCCTCCATGGATCTTCTGGCAAACGGTCTTTTCAGGAGGTCATCAACAATATCCTGTTCCACGATTCCTATTTAATTTTGCACTATGCTATTGGCAAATCAAAGTTGGCACTCGTGGAGAATAGAAGACCTATGAAGGTGATGATGGTTTCAAAATTTTCCACGGGGAGGTATACGAATGCAATCTTAAAATGCTTTTATTTTGCCAATGCAGCATTTTATTTAAATCTGGTTTCTGCTACAGCGGTAGAAAAGCTGAAATCTATGTATACACTTCAAAATCTGAAAAGAAATTATTTTTGTTTCTATATCATATGTCTATTGAGTAGTCTTTAAGTTTTCTACTAACGTTGCATTAACCAGATTTAATTAAAATGCTCCATTTGCAAAATAGAAGCATTTTAAGATTGTACTCGTATACCTCACCGTGTAAAATTTTGAAACCTTCATCACTTTCTTAATTCTTCTATTCTCCACGAGTGCCAACTTATAGCGAATTCGTTTATTATCGGGGTTGGAGCCAGTTCCAACCCAGTGCGAAACCGGACTTTTTGTCAGTGCGAACCTCAACCTGAGCTGGGTTTTAAAAACAAACGATCGAACTGACGTTTGTCGGAAAACAAGCAGGCCCAATCTTGATACCCGATCCAGGTTGGAACTGAATAATAAACGAATTCGCTATTAGATTTGCCAATGAACAATATTCCATCAATGCGCTGAGGCTACTGAATGAAATGCAGACATAGTAGTGAGAAAATTTAAAAATTTAAAAATTCGATGGTGCGTGTAGGTAGGTATACAACGAATGACGGCTCTCCAAGATTCAATCAATTCAGAGAGAAACTCATATGCGACGTTGCCTATACGTGCCAATTTATTCTCTTCTCTTTAAACTGTGCAAAGATAGAAGTGCACAAAATAAACACTAACACAGCGGCAATTATGCTTACGGGACTTCAATACATATACAACTGATCTGGTTGTAAATACGAGCGTTTCTGGTGCACAAGCAAAAGTGCTCAGACTGGGAGAACTAAGCATGCGGTGGCTTTGGTAGAACGAAGGTATATTTTCCTTGCTTGTTTTGTGTCGCTCATTCGCCATAGAAGCCCAAAAAGAGTGTTGTCTGCACGTGGTAACATCCCAGCGTGCCCGTACGTGAAAACAAGATCGCTATGCCTCGTTTCTGTTTTTACGCAAGGTTGCAAAGACTCATTTCAGCTAAAATAATGTTTTTCGGAATAATAAAACCAAAAGATGGTATGATGGCATGTTTTAGTTGTAACTTACAAGAACAGGTTACAAAGTATGCGTTGGAAACATAAAACCTGTAAATTTTGCTTTCTATGAGTCACAATCAGCGATTTGCTGATCGCTGAGTGAGTGAGTGAGTGAGTGAGTGAGTTTGTGAAAAATCGCTGATTGTGACTCTCATGAAGTGAAATAAACAGGTTTAATATGTCAAACACATTCTTTGCAACCTCTTCTTGTATCCTACCAATTCAAAATTTGATCATGGCATCTAATTATTTCATAATTTAGAAAAACATTGTTTTAGCTGAAATGAGTCTTTGCAACCTTGTTTTTACGTACATTTCTTTCAGTGGCAGGTAAAACGGAGGTTGAGTATCGATGTGGTAAACAATTCAGCTACTATCCAGTGATGGATAGTTCAGCTACTATCCATATGAAACCAATAAATAGGGCGGACAAAAATGGTTTTAATTGAGTATTAAATTTTTGCCTCTTAACTTTTCTGAAATATAAATTTTACTTTTAGAAAATTCGAGACTGTGCAGTGCACGAGGTGCACATATGGACGAGACGCCACTGTTTTTAAAGTAGAATAAACTGGTGAATTTTGAGATAGATATGATCCGAAATTATGGTTTCTCAATAGTAATTCCCATATAAACTTCAAATGGTTTGTGCTATGTCAGTTACTCACTCAATGAGTTCAAATTTTGGGAGGCTAATCAGGGCCCAATTTGGAACCGTTTGAGCACTGTGGAGCGAAAATGTCAAATTTTGCATCAGTCTAGTGAGCATGCATAAGGGCGTAAACGCGATGATCGATTTTCTTTTTTGTTAATAACTCGCTAGAATAAACGTTTCTCGGTGCGTTTGCTGTTGCTTTTGATGGCCAATACAACCTGTTACAACTCTGCATTGAACAAATTCTAGAGAATTGTTTCGCTTAGCTGTAGCAATTAAAAAAGAAAATCGTTGAAGATAATCGATCATCTCGTATACGCCCTTATGCATGCTCACTGTCGATACGAAGG